GGCTGGACCAGCACCAACAACAGCAGAGGGCTGGTTCTGGACGCTGCTGTTCGTACAGCCCTTTTCACAGGCTTCTTTGTCGCGGTACTCTATATAGCCGAGCGGTCCGTCGGCCACAACAGTAATCAGATTCACGTAGACAAGAATGGCCACTGCCAAGATAGGGGTAATTCGTATGAAGCGGTGAAGATACATCATTGGCACATTCAGCTTTCCCTTGGATCTGTTAGAATGTTGGCTATGAGTGTTGGTGGACTTAAAATAGTTCGAATACTTATTTATTTATTTAGAACCACCGAGAAATATGCGTACAGAATAAAGTTAGAAAATGGTTCTTCAAGCCACTAGAAAATTACAAACGCCATAAAAAATGATGAATAATAAAATGACTAGTGGACTGACCAACACTGTCCGTAGGGTATTTATATTCGGATTGCCTGCAGAATATCCGACTCCATGTCCAAGAACCACCCAGAACAGGGACATGCAGCGGATTCCATCAAGACAACTGATCACGTTCGGATTCGATTTACTGTCGACAATGCGGAAGATGCTACGACGGCCCGCACGAAGAGTACTCCGACGGCCGCTACGATGGCGACTACGAGGGCGACTACTCGATGCCCACCGAGGAGGACCAAGAGGTGGAGTCGTGCTCCTGTCAGAGCCAGACCTGTCAGAGCCAGACCTGTCAGAGCCAGACCTGTCAGAGCCAGAGCGAGTTCAGCTCGATAGAGCGCACCAAGTCGTTCTCTTTCGTAGTGATCAGACGTGTTTTTGTTTTGCGCTCCGCATTTTTATACCCGATACTCAAAATGAGTATTGGGGTATATTAGATTTGTGGTAAAAGTGGATGTGTGTAACGTCCAGAAGGAATCGTTTCCGACCCCATAAAGTATATATATTCTTGATTAGAATCAATAGCCGAGTCTATTGAGCCATGTCTGTCTGTCCGTCTGTCCGTCCGTCCGTCTGTGCGTCCCCTTCAGCGCCTAGTGCTCAAAGACTATAAGAGCTAGAGCAACGATGTTTTGGATCCAGACTTCTGTGATATGTCACTGCTACAAAAATATTTCAAAACTTTGCCCCGCCCACTTCCGCCCCCACAAAGGGCGAAAATCTGTGGCATCCACAATTTTAAAGATACGAGAAAACCAAAAACGCAGAATCGTAGAGAATGACCATATCTATCCAGTTGCAGAATTTATATCAGATCGGATAATTTTTATAGCCGAAAAGAAAAAAAACAATTTTCAGACGCTACGCAGCGCCCGACGTCACGCTCAGACTGATTTTCTGTCTCTCTCGCACGCACTCTTTGTCGTGTCGTTTAATATTAGCGGCGTCTGCCGGAGGAGAGCCATACAGACTTAGTATCGGGTATAACTGTAGAGTTGCGGTGTCCGCATCAACTCACAACGTTCCCCCTCGTTTCCTTTTGTTTTGAATAAACTGCCGGTGTTTTCCTAACTAAATTCTAATTATACTTCCTAACCAGACAACAATCTGGAAACCTATTCTATTACGCGAGTGCATGTCTTTTGATTTGTGTGAAAACATTATTTAACTTTTTATTTTTCGGCGTCGGCTTGTGTTTGTGTTGTTGCAGTGAGTGAGTATTGCATTGTCCGCTCTCGTCTGGTAGCTTTTGTTGTTTTATCACTCTCTCGCTATCACCTCAACTTCAATAACTGTTCTTTCTCCACTCTGCTCTCTTTTTTACCAATTCCGCTTTGAGCGTTGTCTGGCACATTGGACTGATACCAATTTGTTTTGCAAATAATTGTAAATTGTAATTGTGTCATTGGACTGATACCAGTTTGTTTTGCAAGTAATTGTAAATAAATAATAATAAAATGGAATACGCTGTGGTCTGTGCCAAAAAAACATGTAAGAAGCAGATCACCCACGATCAGCCGAATGTCCCCTGCTGGCTCTGCGACAGCGTAGTGCACGCAAAATGCGCTGGATTTTCTGGCCTCGTGAGTGATGCTATAGCCAAACGTAATGGCTTGCATTACAGTTGCGAAGCATGCCGTGCGGTGGAGAAAGACATGGTATCTTTCATGAGGCAGACGCGGAGTGGCTTTAAGGAGCTGACCGTTGGTTTCAAAAACCAATACGATCGGCTCCTAGCCATGGAGGCTCAGTTTAGCGGCTTAAAACTGCTGAATGAGTCTCCGAGGCGCAAAAAGGTCACTGGTGCCAACCGTCACTCAGCCGTGCGCCGCCGAAAAACTGACTCCGACCACTCCAACTGTACAGCAGTTGATCTCGTTTGCCACTCCAAAGGCAACGACAGCTGCTGGCGATGCAGATTCGGTAGCCGAATTCATCGCCTCGGAGAATGTGCAGCCAAGTACGTCTGCAGCGTCCGTGTCCGTGGTGTCCGCAAGTTCGCCATCCCGATCCCACCAGTAAATAGACGTTCCCGACCTCCGGATATTACCACCACAGGTACTAGACCTGTGGTGACTAAACCACTGGTGGGAGTCCCACCAAAACGACAAGTTTTTTTTTCACGGCTGGCCCCTGACCTCACATCTAATGATGTAATTGCTTTTATTCAAAGCAAAATAAAAGCCGTGGGTTTAAAGGTGGAGAAATTTAACTTCTCTTATGCCAGGGAGATAGCCTCGTTTAAGATAAGCATCTCCCCAACTCAATTTGACACCATTTGCTCCGCCAAATTTTGGCCGGAGCATTTGGTGGTGAAGGAGTTTAAGGCTAAGAAGAAGAATAGGCCCCCATATCCCTTCCAAATCTTTCCAGTGTGCCACCCTCAACCTCAACTTCCTCTTCCTCAACTTCCCGTCTTGCTTCCACCTTTCCAAAAAACTAACTTCTCTTTTAGTAACCTATCAGAATGTAAGAGGCTTGCATAGTAAGCTCAGCATTCTTTTCCGGGATAGTGTTGCATTTGCTTCCTACGTTCTTATGTTTACTGAAACCTGGTTAAAGCCGGACATTCTTAGTTCCGAGGTTTTGGCAGGTCGGTACTCAACTTTTAGACGTGCAGGAGGGGTTCTAATTGCAGTGGACTCTTACTTCACGTCAGAACACTTCACAGTCCAAGTTCAACAGGAACTGGAATTCCTGTGTGTAAAACTGATTCTTCCCGCTTTCGCTATATTCATAACTTGCTCGTATATCCCACCTTCTTCGGATATTTCAATTTATGAGCAGCACTTGTCCGCTTTAACCGCTGTTAACCGCTATCGTATGATAGTTCTTGGTGATTTCAACTTGCCAGGAACTGTTTGGTCTTCGGTAAACGAGTCTAGTATCCTAGTGCCCATGTCACGACATGACTTTGTTGACGGCTTGCTTGACCTGTCCCTGTCTCAAGTCAATCATGTGAAAAATTCCTTGGGTCGATTGCTTGATCTATGCTTTGTATCGGATCCGACCATAGTGTTGTTAACCCGAGCCCTTCCGCTCACTATACCTGAAGACGCCTACCACCCTACTTTCGAGGTGTCGCTAGATATAGGACCAACAGTATTGGATCGGTCGAGTAGACTACCTGAACGTGTCCACTGCTTTCGTAAAGCCGAGTTTGCGAAGCTTAATAACCTAATTAGGGATTTTGATTGGTCCGCTTTGTACTTCTGCACTGATGTCACAAAAGGCACAAACATTTTTTACAATGCTCTTGGCACATTTTTTGATTCATGTGTCCCGCTTTCTTGTCCGATTAGATCTGGAAAACCCCCTAGGTTTACCAAAGAGTTATCCAGTCTAAAAAACTTAAAATCAAGACTTTATAAAAAATTTCAAGAAGTGGGCTCTCCTACTTCTCACTCTCGTTATGTAATAGCTCACAGTTTTACTGCTTCGTAAACAGTAAGCGTAGAACGTCCGCACACCCATCCTCGCTATCATTTTGTAATACGTCGGCAAATAATGATCAGGCAATTGCCGATCTTTTTGCCCAGTTTTTCCAAACCACCTATTCTGAGGAACGCTACTCTGGTCAACCGTACCCATACGGATTACCGAGGTCGAACGGCATTTTCAGTCCCTTGTTAAATGAATATTCCCTACTTCATGATCTTCGACTAGTTAAGCCGGTGTTTTCACCGGGTCCAGACGGGGTTCCAGGTTTTGTACTCAGGTACTGCGCCGAGGCTCTGTGTGGACCATTGCTTAAACTATTCACCCTGTCCATTGAGGGTGTTATGTTAGACCCCAAGTTAAAGTTTTCCGAACACATTTCTACCATGATAAATAAGGCCATGGGCGTGCTTGGGTTTATAAAGAGGTGGTCAAAGGAATTTGACGACGCCTATATAACAAAGACTCTTTATACCTCGCTTGTTCGTCCGATCTTAGAATACGGCTCCTGTGTATGGTGCCCTCAGTACAAAGTACACCACGACCGTATAGAATCAGTACAGAAAAACTTTTTACTCTTTGCTCTGCGGGGCCTTAGCTGGGATGCGGGTGTAAGACTCCCATCTTACTCTAGTAGACTACTATTAGTAAACCTCCCATCCTTAGTTAACCGTAGAAAAATGCTTGCTGTGATATTTATGCACAACTTGATCAGGGGTGACATAGACAGCCCTGATCTGTTGAGCCGCATAAACTTCACGATTCCTATTAGACTGACTAGAAATTTTATACCGTTGTTCCTTCCACGTTGTAGATCGAATTATTCCTTGCATGAACCGTTTAGGGTCTTATGCTCGGATTATAATTCCCTCTGCCATATTATATCCAACACTAATTCTCTTCCTCTTATTAAATTATTAATCCTTACACACCTTTCTATTAATTAGTAACTGTAGTGGTATTTGTATTTTGATTGCATGCTTAGTTTCTTAGTAAGTTTAGAGCTAATTTTCCTCGAATGTTAGTCTAATATCTATCTTTCTTGCATGTTCGCGATTGGTTCGTTTTGCCTGGGATCCGCGCGTAACAGCCTTCTGCTGGTGTCACAGGGGCCACTTGACGGTGCAGTAACTGCATCGCCTCTTGAAAGATGCAGTCATTGCATGTCAACGTCCAAGTCGGACTCGGAGTGGGAGGAGCTCTCCGACGGCCCTTCACCCAGGGTCTCCCCGCTGGAGTCCCTCGGCGCAGTCGTGCTCTCCGCAATGCAGCCGGAGGACCGTCAGCGCATGGTGGCCTTGTACCACCTCGTCTTGGAGACCGCTGTGGTCAAGGTCGTGCTGCTGGTGCTACAGATGCTGTGCTGCGCGGTGTTCTGGCTGGTCGAGAAGACCGTGGGGGTCAACGAAACCGTCGGCTCGACGCGCCTCCGATTGTGGAACAGCAAGTTCAAGCTGCGCACCATCCAGCGCCAGTTGCTGTGGCGCATGGCCAATTCCCGGGGCGACGAGACGCTCGTCTTCTTTGCCGTGCTCATGACCACGCCCTGGCTGTTCTCCCTCAGCCTCCTGGGATTAATCCTGTCCCTGGCGGTGCTCCTGAAGAGGACCGTCAAGGAGCTGGTGTTCCAGATACGCCTGCACCTCGTGCTCTAGGGGGAAGCCATCGAGCAGAAAGCAGCAAGCAGTATCCAATCACACACTGACAGAAGACAAACGTCCACACGCCCGACACTCCACCCCTCCCCTCAGAGATGTTTGCACTTCCATTTGGGCATCTATTTTCGTTGATGCCAGAATCGCAATGCACGGAATCGTATCTCCGTTTTTGGCCGCAATGAAAATATATGCCGAAATATTCGAAATTCAAAGTCAAATTCAAACACAAGAGTTAACAGTCGATCAGATATATCGTTTATCCATATTACGATCCGTTCCGTTTGGACGGGAGGCCACTTGCTCATCTCTCATCCCCGTGATTCCATGATTATTATTTTTTTTATTTCGCTGCATATTTGTTCTGCAATTTATTCAATGATAAACGGAGGAGGAGAGCATGCAGCAGCAGAAAAACATTTCCGCTGCAGCAGCGATTATGGCAGCCGTGGGGCCTTTGTTGCCCCAATTGCAGGCCCCCGCATACGCACTTCGGAGGCACGGAATCCACCAGAAGCGGCAGCAAATGAATCATTAAATATTCACTGTACTCGTGTTGATTCAGTGATCAGTGATCAAAACAACACAACAAAAGCGTCATCATCCACGATCCACGACCCATGATCCCTGATCCAGAATCCGTAGAAGCATCCATTTTCAGGGCTCTCTTGGGCGCTGGTTGGGGTACGCCTCCGATTTCAATCCCTTGCCACACGGGCAATCCGAGCTAGCCCCGATATGTAAACAGGGTCAAGACTACCTGTGCGAAGGGGGCCAAGAGAGGCGCCGGCTCTTCTTGGGATCCGATTACCGAACCGATTGCATAAGACTCAGCCCAGAAGTGGACATACTCGTGTGCAGCCCTTTCGCCCGGCTTTGGCTATTCCCATTTGTGATTACAGTCTGTAGCGCCACAGCAGCTCTTATAGTCTTTGAGCACTAGGCGGTGAAGGGGACGGACAGACGGACGGACGGACGGATGGACAGACGGACAGACGGACAGACAGACAGGGCTCAATCGACTCGGCTATTGATGCTGATCAAGAATATATATACTTTATGGCGTCGGAAACGATTCCTTCTGGAAGTTACACACATCCACTTTTACCACAAATCTAATATACCCCAATACTCATTTTCAAACTGATCCTGCTATAGAATAGAATGCAGAAGAAGACCATAGAAAGTGTGGAAAAAACGTGGGTTGCTGTACTTAGTCGGCCCAGCCTCTTTCTTTTTCTCCTCGTGACCGTCAGAGTGACCGGCAGTGGAAAAAGAAGTCTTGTAGAGCTGACCCAGTTCTATAAACCAAGGTCAAGCCAAAGTCAAAGCCTAGTGCAAGTGCCAAGTGCGGCTCAAAGTGATCATTTAATTTGAGTGGACGCGCCAGTTATATATTGCCAAGGCTGGGGCAGCCGTTCGACCATTGGGGAAAACGAGCGCCCTCAGTTTACTACAATTTTTCGAAACAGTGGTGCAATTCAGTTGAGGTAATTATCCACCCAGCTACAGCGACCCGTTGAAAAATGTTCTGTTCCTTCCGCATTACCTGCGCCCGGTACAATCGTGTGCCTCCTTTAGACCTCGAGTAGGAACTCGGTCTCCAGCCGGGAAGCATCGACCCCGCCTCGGATTTAGTTATATTTTCTACATTTCTTTCGAAATTAGATGTTCGGAGCAGAACGCAGCCGATTAGCTGCTTACCAAATAGCACCTAATTCTTGGCCCTCAGCCGCTTATTTTGTTTGTTACTTATGTCTATGTCACTCATTTGTTTGTTAAAGCTTTGCGCTTGCTTGCCCTGCTAAACGCTCTCTGCCAGCTCGCTCTTCGCTATCTCCGCTTTGCGACTGCCTACCGACGTCGGCCGAGCGAAGCTGCGCTTAGCGATCGGAGCGGCAATGTAAAGGGCAGGCAAGCCACACTTGCAATTTGGATGTCACGCATTAAAGAACATATCGCAATTTTATTTCTGCACCGAGTTTTATTTAATTGGAATAATTAGTCGGCCGATTGGGGATAAAAAACATTATCTCCACATAAAATTTGGTGACCCCGACGTGATTTCCGATGGGTTGCTGATCTTCATCATAGGCACGAAATTGGACCACAAGACCAAGGAGAAATGGGAGGAGAGCTTGCCGACGTCAGGATTGCCCAGGTGGTCAAGCATGGCCTCATTCTTGGAAGCAAGATGTCGGATGCTGGAAAATTTGGGATCGGCTATGGTAACAATTCCTAGCCAGCAGGTGGGAGAAAGTAAACCTAGCACCCTAATCACCTCCATTAACGATCATACTAGCTCAACATGCAAGTATTGCAAATCTTCCGATCACTACATATCCCGATGCCAGGCATTTCTAGATCTCCCTGTCTTTTCTCGATACAAGGAGGTGAAGAAGCGCCATTTGTGTCTAAACTGCCTCAACAAAGGCCATTCATTGCAACGCTGCAATTCAGGGGCATGTAGAAATTGCCAAGCCAAGCATCACACTCTGCTCCACATGCCGTCGGGCGCTGACGCTGAGTTGCCGTCGCCGAGCACGGAACCGACCCAGCATGATCCTGCAAGTGCCCTAGTTGCAAGCAAATATACCAGCCCTCCCCCCTCGAGTCAGAAATCTCTGCCCAGCCAAAACGTGCTGCTAGCTACCGCAATCGTATATGTCAGGGGCCGTTTTGGATCGCTTATTCCATGTCGTGCCATTTTAGATTCCGCTTCTCAGGTTAACTTTATAACATCGAGACTCGCCAATCAGCTGCAGTTAGATCCTCACCCGTCTCACGTTCAAATCGCCGGTATTGGAGAGTCAATTCTACCATCCAGCAAGGCTGTAGACATCGTCCTGCAATCTCAAGACAAAAGCTATCACGGTTTCCTCTCTGCAATTATCACTGCCTCAATCACAGGAATGCAGCCTAACTTCGGCCTAGACGCAAAGGATTGGCCAATGCCAAATAATCTAAAACTGGCTGATCCTAATTTCGCCAAGCCCCAGCGTGTCGATCTGTTGATAGGTGCTGGTCTGTTCTTCGAATTAATGTGCGTTGGACAGATTCGACTGTCAGACCAATTGCCAACATTGCAGAAGACGAAACTTGGCTGGATTGTGTCAGGAAGTATTAAAAACTCTGAGAAAGCCCGTGCGGCGATAGCAGCCGTTGAAGATCCCCCTGTCATCTCCGCTTGCGAGACTAATTTGTGCGATATTGTAAGGCGTTTTTGGGAAGTCGATGGAGATTATTCGCCCTCATCAATTTCGGAGGAAGATGTTCATTGCGAACAGCATTTCGTCACAAACTGCATTCGCCTAGATTCCGGAGCTTACTCCGTGCGTTTGCCAACCAAATTCAGTCTAGAGGAATTAGGAGAATCGTATCAGCAGGCGCTACGTAGATTTCTCAATTTGGAGAGGAAGCTAGCAAAAAATTCACAGCTTAAGGAAAAATATATGGAGTTTCTCCAGGAGTATCGTGATTTAGGACACATGTCGCCAGCTTCGCGGCAGTCAGACCTCCCGCAGTACTTCTTGCCTCACCATTGCGTCCACAAGCAGGATAGTACAACCACCAAATTACGCGTAGTGTTCGATGGATCTGCCAAAACAGCGTCTGGAGTATCACTGAATGATGCGCTAATGGCTGGACCCACCATCCAACCTACAATTTTGATAACTCTGCTTCGTTTCCGCTTTTTTAAAGTCGCCTTGTGTGGCGATATCTGCAAAATGTACCGCTGTGTACGCGTTTCCCATCCCGATACGCACGTGCAGTGCATCCTATGGCGCAATGACCCGAAGGAGGAGATTCAGGTGTTCAAGTTGGAGACTGTTACTTACGGAACCAAACCTGCCGCTTTCTTAGCAATTCGTGCTATGCATCAATTGGCAAATGATGAAGAATTGCGTTTTCCGCTTGGCGCTGATGTTGTTCGAAGAGATTTCTATGTCGATGATCTCATATCTGGAGGGGACAGCATTGATTCTGTCATCAAGATTCGTCAGCAGGTAAAGGAGCTACTTTCGAAAGGATGTTTTCCCATACGTAAATGGTGTTCCAATGAACCCGCTGCTTTGGAAGGCGTATCGGAGGCGGATCGCGAAAAGTTCCTTACCTTTCATGACGGAACTGAAGTAACCAAGGCGCTTGGTCTAGTTTGGGATCCCACCACGGACAATCTTCTGTTTAGCTTCGCTCACGTCGGAACCGCTGCAGGCCCAATATCGAAGCGTTCGGTCCTGTCTACACTAGCTAGGTTCTACGATCCTCTAGGGCTCATCTCTCCCATCATCACAAAAGCTAAAATATTTATGCAGTCGCTATGGAACGAAAGCCTAAAGTTGAATTGGGACGAAAGCCTGCCCCAGGATCTACATACGACTTGGATTGAGCTGACTTCGCAGTTGTCGATGGTTGAAAACTTTAAGTTTCCACGTTACGTGCTTCGGCAGCAAGCCAAATTAGAAATGCACGCGTTTTGTGATGCGAGCCAAGCAGCATATGGCGCCTGTGTATACATGCGTTCGGAAGCTCTTGGCATTGTGCAAAGTCATCTCTTATGCTCTAAATCCAGAGTCGCGCCCTTGAAAAGTATGACTATCCCCAAGCTTGAGCTATCCGCTGCCCTCGTATTTGCCGAACTAGTGTCCACCATAGTTAAGGGATTATCAGCTCCATGCCAAATACATTGCTGGTCGGATTCGTCCATAGCCCTTGCCTGGATTCGAGAATCACCATTGAATTTTAATATATTTGTTTCTAATCGAGTTCAGCGGATTCAGGAGCTCACCGCTGGAATGACTTGGCATCACGTGCCCACAAATTTGAATCCTGCCGAAATCATATCACGTGGATCCACGCCCGCTGAACTAATGGATAGCAGCCTTTGGATCTCTGGACCACCATTCTTACGTCTTGCGAGCTCGGAGTGGCCTGCAGGCTTGCAATTGCCAACCGATGTACCAGAACGTCGTCATGCAGCATTGGTTGTTTCAAATGAA